TTTAACTCATACCAATGATACGTGTTTGAAAATGTAGTTAGCAAGCTATAATATTAAGCTATTACTGTATTGTATAATATTAAGCTATAACTTGCATTACTGAAATGCTATGGCATTACACTTTATGAAATGCACTTGTCTTATTACCAAATAAAGCCATTAAAACTATTCGAGTTTTGTACTATATTGTTTTTTTATAGTGTAACATTTTATGCTGTAATATGTGAATTTGAATCAGCTTTTTGTGAAAATAAATAATCAACAAAATTCCAAATTAGTAAATACACTTTATTAGTCCTTAACAGTACAGTTTTTAATAGAATTTTCTTGATCGCTCATAACATAAAGCATGTTAGAAAAAAAAATCTTTGTAATCTCTCTTTGAGAATTTACAGATTCTAAATATTCTTAAAAAAAAAGGCTATTTTTTCCTTAAATAATTTAAGCAAAGTTTTATGTGGTAATATTATTAGTAACAGAGATATACTGTATCATTGAACTTTTACATTTTGGTGAACAAATATTTTTATTTAAGTTACAATATTCCTAAGAACATTCTATTGGTCCTAAATATTGACATTGATATTTCATTGGATCTTTTATGAAGCAGATTAAGAACTTAAGAACAAATTTTAAAATTTAACTTAGTAATTGTATTTGGTAAAAACAACTGGAAAAAAATAAACCAATACAAATTCTTATATCTTTATAAAAATAAACATAAAACATTTAAATTATTCTGAGAGTGAGTGTTGTATTGATGTTACAAGATACAAAAAAAAATTGTGTCCTATTCTTGAGCATTCATAGGCAGCATGACTAGATTTCATATACTCAAGTTGTTATAACACTTAACTAACTTACATGATGAGCCAGCAGTAAACATTCTCATAACACTTAACTAACTTACATGATGAGCCAGCAGTAAACATTCTCAGTACAGTAGTGAAAAACGTCACAGTTCTTCAAAACTACCATTTCTGTAAACAAAATATGCAGTTTAAAACTATCAAAAGAAAATGTAGCAGTCACAGTTGAACTTAAGTAGTTTTAAAACAAGACAAAATCATCATTACATATAAAGTATGAATGGCAGCATAATGTAAGAACAGAAGCAGATACTTGCTTTCATTGTTTTTTACAGCAAAAATGTTTTTGTTTTCATTAAGGTTTTTAAATGTTTACAAGATAAACCTATGTGTACAATAATTAGTTTGTAAGCCAAGTAAAGCTGGACATTATATAAAATGCACTGTTACTGTTGTGAAATTTAAACCAATTTAAGTGATAAAAAAATCCTGTCTGGTAAAACAAGGTCTTGCAAGTGACTTCATATGAAAAGCACAAAAATTTATATTACACTAAAGACTGACACACGAGAAAAGTTAAACAATAGATACATATATTAATATACTAAATTAAGACCAAAAAAATGTTTACAACAAACCAGTCTACTACTTTTCCATAGAAGACCACACAGACAAACCATTAATAGAACTTCAACATTACCAAAAAAAAAAGAGATACCTGATTATTAAAATAATACATTAAACACAATTGCTTTGTGGTTGTCAAGTATAGGACATTAATATGTTGCAAGGTTCTTTTCAGGTACAGACAGTAACATAAATCAGTGAAGTACCGTAGGAATAAAAACAAACAAACTATTCACTCATATATACATATATCATAGCATATAAAAAAAACATGGTCCACAAATCAATAATGACCAGATGGCCTAACCTTTGTTTTCTGACATGTATCTTCACTTGTAGAATCTTGTTAATTTTAAACTTCAGAAAGGTACGGATACACAGATTCTATTTCAACTGTTCTTTACATCTAAACTTCATTGCTTGCAACATGAAGCTATCATGTTGAACAGCATAATTCTGCAATACTATAATTGTGTTAAATGAACAAGTTTAACAACGTTTGAAAGATAATATACAGATAATACACAATTATTAAACAGTTTTATACATTTTTTTTTCTAAAAAGAAAAAAATACATAGATTTGAAAATGATAAAAGTGAAGATGCTAATAACAAATGTATGCACTTAATAAAATTAAATTACAATGTACAGTAGATTTTTATCTTACTATCAAAAATCTTTTGATGAAAAAGTTAAATGTAATTAATAGAGAATACTAGATCTTTTTAATTGTTTAAACTAATCACATCTCTCTAACTAGTAATTTACAACTTATAATTAACTTAAGATGGTAGATTTGAGAAATTATTGTTTAAACAAATAACGTTTTCTATGTAAACTGACCATCTTTATCTCTTTTATACACACATTAAAAGAAATCCAGAGGACTAGGTTAAAATTCTGGATTCAGCAAAGTATCAGAACAATACAATTACTGTTTTTATGATACTGAGTAAGGGAAGAAGGAATATGTTAAACCATAAACTTGCAGTTATTAAAAATTGGACTAGAAACATACAATAAGGACAAAATTATTGTTCCTTTACATAACCAAACCTGGTTTCTATCCACTTCAACTTCAAAAACCAACTATGAAAAGCACTTGTCTTTTCATAGTTTGTTTTTACATACAATGTACACAATGATACAATATAAGTACACATATGGCTGAAGCACCAAATGAAAAAAAAAAGTGCACTTAAAATATGTATTTTGTTACTTTAGCAGGTAAAAATACTACAGATATTCTATACAAATACTACTTTCATTAAATCATGAAATAAAAATCTCCATTACTGAGCTCTTCAACTTGAAGTAAAGTATACGAATTAATTTATGAATCTTGGCATACTCTCTAATAGAAACTTTGGTGCTTAATGTTCATCATTCAGTACAAACACGATTATCAACACATAATCGGTAAAGAAACACTGCTATTATACAACACATAGTACTAGAGTGTATGTGTATAAATGCACTATCACAAAGTAAAGGATTCAAAACACCTTAATGACATAATCAACTCCTTGTTTTGATGGGTCTAATATTTCACAATGCTAAACTAATGGTATGTTTAAGTAAGAGATACCATGAAAAGTCTATAATTTATCCTGATTGTTCTTAGATACATTTATTTCAGTATTTTAACAACTTCCAGTTTTGTTATTGGATAATTTTTATGAAAGAAGAGTTTTACATGCTTTCATACTTTTAACATCTCTTTATATCGGTCTAACCATGGAACTTATGGCTTTTTACATCTCTTTATAGTGGTCTAACCATGGAACTTATGGCCACAGATCTCACAGGATTAAGATATTGTATCATAAAAAACCCAAAAAAAACACACTTTTATGGACTGTGATTTAGTCCTATCTTCAAACGTATGCAAACAGCAATCAATACTATCGTATCATGTACAGCCAGATGTCACATGTCCCAAGAATTTTTGTGTGATTATTTTGCTGACCATTGAATTAATAAATATTAAATTTAAATAATTCACATAGAAAAAAAAATCCACACACTAGCATGTGCAAATGTAGGAATAACACGAGCATTATACTGAAAAGACAATTATAATTGTAAGTGTTATGTTCTTTCTATGCACTTCTGAAGTATGCATTCGGGCCTTCCGTTCAAGTAGCAAGCAAACACTCATTAGCAGCAAGATCACAATCTAGATATTTTTAGTAATCTATTAATCAATAGAGAGTACATACACGTGCAAATCGCAGTGTTCCTTTAAGTAAATTTGAACTCCTAGGCAAAAGTAAAACAAAAAAAAGATACAAAATAACACATTTAATAAAGGTATAATTTCTACAAATATTAAATCTATTAGCTATGAAAGTAAAAAAAAAAAGCTAAAACAAGCTGTATGATAGTTTTGAAAAAATATGCATTTAAACTAAATGAAAATGACTGAAAGTGTTGATGGATACTATTGTTTGTAGGAACGATGGTCACCTGAATAAATAAAAAAGGGAAACGCTAGTCATTATTTTATCCTGATAACGATGACTCCAAATGTTTTACACCCATAAATAATAATTACAAAGTGTTTACATGTTTTATTTTCAAATAAAAAAACAAACAAAAAATTGCAATCTTGCCATTTTTTGATTAAATAGCCAAAAAACGTTTTAGACATTGATGCACTAAGAATTAGCAAATAAATATATAAAATATGTGCCAATTCATGGCATATTATTTTTATTTGTTATGTAATGTGGTTTTCTCCCTGTGGACCAGTCTGTGAGGATTTTGCATAAGTGGAAATAACAGAATTATCTGTGCTTAGTGATGACCTCTCAGATGACTCTACTGAGTAAAGGTCAAGGTCAGTTTCTCCAAAGTCTTCTAAAGATCCTTCTTTGATTGCTCTATGTTTTGTTGGCTCATCTGAACATTTGTTTTCTGTAACAGCCTTATTACTTAAGCTTCTATCCTTTTCGGCGTGTTCTCCAGAAGTCTTGGTACAAAGTTGTCTACTTCTGACACTATCTACTACATCTAGTAGGTTTTTAGCATCTACAGCAAGGACGTGGGCAGCAGATAACATTCCTTTACGAAACTCTGCATCAAGTGTTGTTCGGCTATACTTGTGGGCCTGCTTCATAGCATGAATCAAATTTTCCATGTCTTTACTTAGAACTCGATGAGCCATCGTTACCTGGAAGATGAACAATTTGTAATAAAATAGATACATCAGTAAAAAGATCTTGTAAAGTAACTAATGTTTAGCAATTATCAGTATAAACATATAATCTTTACCTAAAGGCTATGGCAATTTGTAATAAAATAGATACAATGATTTCATCAGTAAAAAGATCTTGTAAAGAAACTAATGTTTAGCAGTTGCTTCAGTATAAACATATCTTCACCTAATGGCTATGGCAATTTGTAATAAAATAGATACAATGATTTCATCAGTAAAAAGATCTTGTAAAGAAACTAATGTTTAGCAGTTGTTTCAGTATAAACATATCTTCACCTAATGGCTATGGCAATTTGTAATAAAATAGATACAATGATTTCATCAGTAAAAAAGATCTTGTAAAGAAACTAATGTTTAGCAGTTGCTTCAGTATAAACATATCTTCACCTAATGGCTATGCAATTTGTAATAAAATAGATACAATGATTTCATCAGTAAAAAGATCTTGTAAAGAAACTAATGTTTAGCAGTTGCTTCAGTATAAACATATCTTCACCTAAAGGCTATGTCAATTTATAATAAAATTAAATAATTTAATTGAATTTAAATGTTATTAATTTTAATAACATTAAATTAATTAATTTAATTTAATTTAATTTAAATTTAAAATTCTTAATTGAATAGTAGTATAAAAGTTAAAACAACTTTTTCAAATAACAAAATTAGTCTTTGGAATTTCTACCCATATTATTAGGTAATCATTGAAATTCTACTGAAGATCTGACAGACTTAAGAATACTTGACTATTTTCCAAATTACAATAAATATGAATAACTCTGTTAAGAGTAATGCCTCTGGTAAGCATCAGAAAGGAAGACTAGACAAGATTATCATACCACAGTTGCATGTAAGACATGAAACCAGTAAGCCTGGACACATAGATGACTCATTAAAACTGTGCAAACAGAAAGAAGACTAGACAAGATCATCATAGTACAGTTGCATGTAAGCCATGAAACCATTAAGCCTGAACAAACACACACAAATGATTATTAAACCTGTGCAAACAGAAAGAAGACTAGATAAGATTATCATACCACAGTTGCACTTAAGACATGAAACCAGTAAGTCCGAAAAATTGCAACACTTACATCTTTTCGTGATGACGAGGGAAAGGTTGGGAAAAACTGATCCACACTTCGCAGTAAATTCTTGAGTTCTTTTCCCACATTCTAGAAACAAGATTTATTTTTATAGGACAGTCAGACATAACAGTGCTGATTTAGTAAAATTTTTACTGCTAGAGAGAGAACTGTGAAATAATTTTTGAATTCCTTATTTTTGTTACAATAACTTATCAAAACTTAAGAAATAATAATTTTCTACAAGGAATATATAAATGAAAGACCTATTTGTGTTTTAAAAATTATAATATATTTTTTAATCACTGAAAGTAAAAGCTAAGTTCTATGCTGATATGAACTGAAAGAAAAACTGTATGTGATCAAACCCTAAAGGTTTGGTTTATTTTACAAATAATTTTTCTACATTCCTTTTTTTTTATGAGCACAAAGTGTAATATATTAATCTTCTATAAAAGTTTGGTTTATTTTTTTATTTTACAGATAATTTTTCTACATTCCTTTTGTTATTAGCACAAAGTATGAAATATTAATCTTTGCTAAAAGTTTGGTTTATTTTTCTATTTCAAAGATAATTTTTCTACATTCCTTTTTTTTATGAGCACAAAGTGTGATGTATTAATCTTTGCAAAAAGTTTGGTTTATTTTTCTACTTCAAAGATAATTTTTCTACATTCCTTTTTTTTATAAGCACAAAGTATGATATATTAATCTTTGCTAAAAGTTTGGTTTATTTTTATATTTTAAAAATAATTTTTCTACATTCGTTTTTTTATGAGCACAAAGTATGATATATTAATCTTCTCTAGAAGTTTGGTTTATTTTTTTATTTTACAGATAATTTTTCTACATTCCTTTTTTTTTTATGAGTACAAAGTATGATATATTAATCTTTGCTAAAAGTTTGGTTTATTTTTTTATTTTACAGATACTTTTTCTACATTCCTTTTTTATGAGCACAAAGTATGATATATTATCTTTGCTAAAAGTTTGGTTTATTTCTCTACTTCAAAGATAATTTTTCTACATTCCTTTTTTTTTAAGAGCACAAAGTGTGATGTATTAATCTTTGCTTTTTAACTTACGGTTTACTTATACGTTGCTTTAGACCTATTTTTTGTGTACCTTGTGTTCTGATGAGCACAAAGTGTGTTTAGTTTTTCTTCTCTCTTGGCAATGTTCGATTATAAAGGCATAGTTACTGACAAATTCACTGAATCATCCCTTATATGACTGGAAACTTACATAGAAACCTTGATTAACACACTTAAAGAACAAATTAAAAGGTATAATATTTTACTACAAAGTCAGATCCTTACTTTGACAAGTTCTAAGTACTTGGAAACCTTTTCCTGCTGAACGCCTTGTGCTAAACACATTACAGCATGAACCACTCGTGTGGTACATTCATAAACTTGATCTCCTGTTCTGTCAAGGTTCACATTCGTTGCTATTTCAAAGTTCTTTGTTTCATCCTATTGAACCAAACATGAAATCAGTAAAAAAAACAAAAAACAAATTTATACACATGAAGGATTCATAAATGATTAGCAAAATCTAAGAGGAATTAAGTGAACATGCAACAAATTAAATCACCACATACCAAATCATCTGCCACCATTACCTGTCACAAATTATGAATTTCTACTGAATTGTACAGTAACAGTTCTATAGTATGTGTAAACATTTTGTAACTTATATAATAACTTTCAACACAAATGGTTCTAAACAAATACATGTAGCTACATTTGTACAGAAATGACGGTTACTTGGAGATATTATGAATCTCTAAGTAACTTATATAATAACTTTCAACACAAATGGTTCTAACCAAATATATGTAGCTACATTTGTACAGAAATGACGGTTACTTGGAGATATTATGAATCTGTAAGTTTTGTATGAACTACATACCATAGAAACTAAGATCAATATAAACATAAATTGAAATATATTATATATACTGTGACAGATTAATAATCTAATATGGGAAGTATATAGTGTGCATAACACCTATGACATACTGGCACTGAAGATACTTTATGTACAATGTGGACACTGTTCAGTTTCTAAGTTGTACTGTAACTTGCTCGTGAAGGATAGGTGTCAATATTTGTCTTTTTAAATAGCTGATACACCTGACTGAGTGGGTTTGGCATATTTTACTCTTCACTGTAAATACATCAGTAATTACATTCACACACAGATTATCAACTGAAACTTTGTACACTGCAACACAGATTGCATCTCACATTTACAGCACTGGCCATTTAAAAATATACATACAATTGCTGTCCCATCATTACACATTGCTTCTTTAAAGAATAAGAATAAAACAGCTTAAAATTAACAATAAAGTAAAATATCAAGTACCTAATATTTAATAATGTACTATATTTACATTACTTTAATAAATCTACAGAATAAACTTATGTTTAAGCACTCCTTACCACCATTACAGACATAACAGATCCAGACTCTGCTGTTTCTTTTGATACTCTGGAATGTGGAGAACCAGATGAATCTGAATGACAAAATAAACAATGAACTGTAAGATATCAATAAAAAACTGACAAAAAAACAATAAGGTCAATGATGTAGCAGTATTTTTTACCTTCATAAATGAAATTAGTTCTCCAATGTAAGGGTCTTATTTTTTAAAACATTAACAGTTACAAGAGGTATATCAGTATTATGTATATTGATAGCAGTGAAGAAACATTTAGATAATATTATTTTGAAGTTTTTAGACACTATTCGTATAATTCAAAACCAAGTATTGGTAAACCATTCTTTATTTAAGTTCAAACATTTTATATGTTATTAAAAATTGACTTAATTCTAACGTGTAAAACACATTTTAAGATATAATAAGTCTCTATGAAATACTGATATTTCAGAAATAACAGTTTAAATATAATTGAATATTTTTAAGTTTTTACAAGTTATATAATGTTATTATTATTATATTTTTTATGTCAAATAAACAACCAGGCAATTCAAATGTTTGAAAAATTTCTTAAATTGAGAACCAATACACTGCTCACTGACCAGCATCAGAGACACCTGTTGCATAACTAGGAGAGCTGAGAGCTCCATCTGTGTCCCAACTATCAGTATCAGAGCCATGAGAACGTTCACTGCAGGATATCCGCTGCCTAGGGTACTGGAATGTGAAGACTACTTGTAAATTATTTCAATTCGTTTCTGTGAAATTTTTAACACCCACCAAATAGTTTCAATGGATATTCAAGAAAGTATTCCAACTTTTTTCAATATGTCTTTAATTTCTGTGTATTTTAGTAAGTTATACATATGTTTTGTACATTGAAAAGGTTAATAATGATAAACTTAATTGTTGGAAAACAAACTGTGAGATAAGAAGTATAGTAAATCTGCAAACTGTTAAACAAGAAAGATATATATATATATATATTATATATTGTGTATAGTTGAGTTTTTTAAAAGTTTGGACTTTAAAAATCTTCAAAACAAAGTTTTCTGATGTGATTACAGTTCTGATCATCAGTTGAATCTCATAATATATATTTTGTTCAAGTTCAAAGAAAGGGTTAGAGTTCAGTAACACGAAACATTAAAACATTTTACCTGTCCAGGTTTTTTGCTCTGGCTAGGAGAATCTGGATAAGTATCTACAGTGAAAGTATTAGCTGGAGAAGCAGCAGCAACATAAGACCAGGCAGGAGGGATGTTGTCAAGATTCTCCCGAAACAGATCTGCTAACACTTCTGGATTTTGAGCTACAATGTAGGTTGAAGGTGCCACGGATCCTGGGGATGTTTCACTACTCATCTTTCTTGGAGACTAAAGAATACAAATATGTTTAAATGTACAGTGCAACTATACGGAAGTAAGACAGAGTTTATCTGTGATATTTTTTTTTGTTGCTAAGCAAAAAGCCACACAATGGGCCATCTATGATGTGCCCACTACAGGTCTTGGAACTTGGTTTTTAACATAAACCTGTACACTTACCTCTTATGAGATCATGCATACTCTAAATAACATATTTGTATACAGGTATCTGTTTTATAATTTTCTATTTTGAACCCTAAATCTGCATTAATTAAATAAAAGATATAAGGAAGAAATATTTTTTTTTGTTGGGTTCAGTAAAGCCAGAAAAAGAAATAACTTAGTCATAAGATTTCTTAATCTTACAAAAAATGTATCCCAGTATTCTCGTGAAAAGAACTGCAATTTGTACAAAGCATAATGATATAAGTGATTCCATAGAAGTCATTCAAATGTGGGTACAAAAAATCAAAGAAAAACAACTTTTGAACTGTTATAATAATATTGATATTAAGTATGTTAATGAATTATAATCATAAAATCAAATCTCGTATTTTTGACTTAAAATTATAGAAGTTTGATGCAGTTTTGAGTCTTATAAAATATAAAAAATTATACCCTTGATGACGATTCATCTGATCCCGAAGAACCTAAAAATAAGAAGAAAAAATTTGGAAAAATCATTTTCATAATTTGTTTCTAGAAAACCTGAAATACAATAGAGTTTGTGAAGTAATTAGTAGACTGATTTTATTCATTCCCAAAATATAAGAAACAAAAACCTGGAAAAAATTAGTTAAACATCTTTATTCATGAAATTTGAAATATAATGGAGTTTGTGACGTAAATTTATTTAACCTCAAAATTTTAATATTGCGAAACTTGTAAACAAAAACTGACTTATCCTGTTACTATATACCTAAACCATTATCTAATAAAAGCCTATGTATGTCTGCTTATAGCAGGCAAACTGTGGACTGAGGGTCACCAAACATAACATGTATCCTTAAGGCCCCTGGGGGAGTGACATGGGAGGGTTAGTGTTCAGATCTAAGGGCCCATGTCTTCCTTATGCATGGAACAGGTATGACTGATAGTCGATCAATAACAGGATTACATATGTTACTTTATTCTAAGATCTATTTTCTTCATGTCTTTAGATAAAACACAGAACACATACATTAAAAGATACTTTCTTGATTATTTCAATAGTTCCTTACCCCATGATAAAGCCTGTATCTTCCTGTTATCTCTTCTTTTTGCTTCTTCTTGTTGCTTCTGTTCTTCCCCAAGGTTTTCACTTAAAATGGAGGGAAAAAAAATTCAGTGCTGGGCATAACAATGGTACAAAAACATTATTTTCATGTTGTAATTATATATATACAAATATATATAAATAATTGCAAGATAACACGTTAAGAAGTCTATTTTCCACAGGGGAATCAAATATTAAGCTTCCTATTATAAAATGAAAAAAGTTTTAAACTAATGTGTCTCATTAGTGGTTAGTATGTATGTATGATGATTTTGTACCCCCTTACAGTGTATAATAATAATAATAAGGAACATAAAAAAGTGTCCACCAATAATAAGGAATGGGTGTGAAATGATAAAAATAAAAACAGGTGTTCAATAATAAAAACAATTAAAAGAAGAAATCTTTTATCTTAAAAAAAAGCCACTATCTTGCATATAACTATTGTATTATGATGTCCAACTTTTTGATTTTCTGGTCTTAACTTGTTAATGGGTTACATTTTTATCAATGCAAGTTCGGTGTTATTAATAATTAACACTGAAGAGTGGACTGAAAAATTAAATACTGATGATAATAAGTTGGAAAAAAAGATCTATGGTAGTATAGAAGTATCTAAATAATTAAAAATATGTCATTAGCAATGTAGAGGATTTAAAAAACTCAACTGGGAAACAGAATTTACCATAATATATGTTTGATGTATTGAAAACTGGGTCTGGCAGAAGGTTCATAAGCCCAACATTTAGACATCAGGCTGTACAAGTGAGGTGGACAGTTAGGTGGGAGGGGTAGCCTTTCTCCATTCTCTATTTTTCGAATAACATCACTGTTTTTTATTCCTTGGAATGGCTTCACTCCCATCATCAGGATTTCCCACATGCAAACTCCTGAAGAAAATATACAAAATACAGACTCAAACATTTAAAAAATGCTAATATTAATTCTAGATTAAAATTAAATAATTTTTTTGTAAAACTGAATCATTGACCTCTAATAATTTGTTAGCTATTTATCAATTAAATATATCTAAAAAGAAACATTTAATATAAAGAAAATGCAGAGAATTAAATTTAAACCTGGATAAGAAATTCTAACAAAATATATTTTAACTTCTGAGGAAGTAACTTTGACTAACAAAATTACCTGGATCAATTTTATCATTTTTAATTTTTGTAGGATATTTACAAAAATGCTACATGTATTGTACTTGAACTACAAAATACATGTGACATAAAGCCTTGAATTTTTACATTACATTTTACATTCAAAGAGTTTTGTTCTAAACATACTTGTAAAAAAAGGTTTATCAGTTTTGGTTTTACAATGCTGAGGTTGTGAATAATAACAATTTCTTTGAAACATGGTTTTGGTGATTTTTTTATTCCAGAGTGATTTATTTTAATCCATTTGTGGTCTGGGAATGCTCTGATTATGAATACAAACCTATGTATTTAACATTTTATTACTACAAACACACACTCCACACTTGGAGACATCTATCTAAGCTACAGTCATTCCTCTTTGGATGTAGCTCTCTGTCAGATCATCCAGTATTTCCTATTCTTAGCATACCATGTTCATCTGATCACTACTTCTGCCACTATATCGTCCCTCCATCTTCTCTTTTGTCTTTCCTTAGATCTTTTCCCTGTCCTAAGTTGCTATTCCATTGTTCTTAATGTCCACCTATTATCAGAATACCTTGCTACATACCCAGCCCATTTACATTTAGTCCTTAGAATGAACCTTACTGAACCTATTATTTTTATTTTTCTTATTCTGTCTTTGGAGACATAGATTCACTGTTAGAGTGATGGCCAAATCAATTTTTTGAGTCAAACAAGAGTTGGTAGTGGATGCTCTTGACTAGATGCATTCACTCTAGTCTATCAGTTTAAATTTAGATATGACAATGTTACAAGGATGAGGATGACGTTGTAACGTCGAAACATGTAGAGTTGTCAACTTTTTGAAGGCCATAGATAGGCCTAAATAAAATGTTTTTAATTGTGTACCAGTTTAACGTTGAATATTATTTATGATCTTCATATTCAGATGGCCATTGCAAATTTCTTCAGGTGGTTCTGACATAAGGTAGACCAGTGTTTCTCAACCGAAGTGCCTCAGGCTTCTTCCAAAGATGTTTCAAAATTTTAGCAAAATGTTATTATCTCTATGAACCTTCCCTTCCTGGCTACACTTCTGTTATCTAGGTCATAAAACATTAGGGGTGCCGTGGAAATTGTAGACTTTGTACAGGGGTGTCTTGAGTAATAAAGGGTAGAGAAATACTGAAGTAGATGCTCTAAATTCTGACTAGTAAATAATTGTTTACTTCGTATCTCTCTTTGTATTTATTAAAGTTGGTAATATCAGAACATTACACTTGTATTCTAAACCAGAACATTTTGCCTGTATTCTGAACCAGAACATTTTGCTTATATTATGAACCAGAACATTTTGTTTATATTCTGAACCAGAACATTTTGCTTATATTATGAACCAGAACATTTTGCTTGTATTCTGAACCAAACATTTTGCTTATATTATGAACCAGAACATTTTGCTTGTATTCTGAAACTCTTGTTGATGAAAGTATTAAAATGTTTCACTGAAGAATCCAAAGATTAAAATATCAGAAGAAACTGGAGATTTTCACTAATACACAAAAAAGTTTTTCTTACTTTAGTTCCACATTATAAAGGTATGTCATTCCTTCATTTTTCTCACAAACTAATTTCTAATCCTTTCATACAATATGATTGTATTTCCTGATTTTGGACCTCATCACTAAAGTATAGCTCCTTCACTTCTAATGCAAAATTAGTTTATCCTTTCAAAGACCAGATGTTCCTTTACCAAACATCCAAACATCACTGGCTGTTGTGAAACGCTGAAAGTTGATGGATTCTGGAGCCATCCATTTGATAGGAAGTTTTCCTTTACTAGCTTTGTAGTAATGGTCCTCAATCCAGCGTGACAAGCCGAAATCAGCAAGTTTGATACAGTCATGTGATGTCACGAGGACATTCCTGGCAGCTATGTCTCTAAAGAACCACGAAAACAGTTATTTAAGTTAAAAACCAAAAAAAAATAAATATTTCCAATTTTACTGCTTGCAAAATATGGGCTTTTGAAAAAGTTTAAAGACAGCATAACTATGTGAAATCCTTAAAAACAATTCAAAACCAAACTTTTTTTAGTACTTCCTATTCTTTATTAAATTCTAAATAAATCACTTGTCTTGAATAAGCTCCTCCTCTATATTTGTATTTCTGGTAAAACAAACATATATAATTGACCTGTTCAAACCAACTTATTTCACTCCTCTAGACACTATATCATATTCAGTATAACTTCCACAGGACATCGAAAACCAACAATAAATGAACAATGTCTTCCTATGGAAAGTTTCTACAATGAAATATTTAAATTTTCTCATATTAAAAGGACAATCTAAAAATGAAGATATGCTCAATATTGTGTGATGATTATTAATATTACATTTACTAATTTCACACTAAATGTTTAAAACTAAAAAATATGCTTAAAGTAACAAAGTTTAAACTATCCTAGAAATCTACAAGTGAACAGCCTCAAAAGTTATACATTACACAGGACCTCGAATTTAAACTTCATAAAAGTTGTTTTGGTTTTAATAACGGATTCTTCTTTTCCACAATCCAGCTACACAGATTTTGAAAATAATATTCATTTTTTTATTCCAAAATATACATAATACGCTTTTTTGACGACTTCTGTAATGTTTTGCCTTTGTTTCTTTACAACAAATTTTCCACAAATATAACAGAATATGTTTGGGTTATTTACATAACCTCTTGTTGCCATAGTGATGAATAAATATTATTGAAATGAAAAAACTAATGTCAAAGTGCACACACACATACAAATAAATATATATATATATATATATATATATATATATATAT